TTTTTTTTTCCTTATTCTTTTTTATCTTTTTGTTTTTAATTATTTATTTATTCCTTTAACTCGGGCTCCTCGCTCCTGGCATCGCTCACTACCGAATACATCCAATTTTGAACTTGTGGGCTAGCCGCTAGACAAATCAAGCACGCTGAAAGGACTGTTGACTGACAACGGTGTTAACACTTGGATCCCGGTAATTACCCCACTCGAAGTGGAGTAGCTGAACARTTATTCATCAGCCTACATTGCTGAAGGGCAGTGGGATTACAAGTTTGGTCCCTGATAATCACTCGGAGTCGTCGAAGTGGGGTGGCCGATCAGTTCACTGGATTATCCATAAGACAAGTCAAGTTCACCAATTGGCGGCAGGACCACCGGTAGGTCTGTGAGAAATAAACAAAAAAAATGAGTGGTTAATTGTATCACAATACCTYTGAACAGTCGAGACCGCTGAATAGCATGCATGATTATTGGCGAAACCAGGGCCTCTCAAAGCGAACACTTAAATCACCAACCGACAAACARCTTGTGAACGGTCGGATTTCCTCATTTGCTCATAGGGTCATTTGCGAAGTGGGTAAGATTGAGCTGCCATCGTGGCGCTGCGGAACAGTTGAAGGAGAGAGAGAGAGAACGCAAGGGCAGGGGAGGKTGTCGAGAGCCTTGGATTGAAAACTGACTGTGCTGTGACTATTTCCCCCTTGGAATGTGATCTATTCTTCCTCTGCTATCACCGATAAACTTGCTGAATCTGAAAGCCGTGACCGTCCRAGAAACAGGAAAATTAATATCGGACAGCATATATCGTCCARRTTTAYAAACTGTTGGTGACTAAACGAAAGTTGTCGGTAAGCTGGGCCGACAGGCAACTCTAACATCAGACACCCTGCTGGTCGCTGAGGACCTCGGATGCGGGCGCGGCGAGTGACAGGCGCCGTTGCCCTTGGCTTCAGCGACAAGCGGGCACCCCTCCCCGGGTTTCCTCACAACGTGGCAACTCCCGACAGACAGACTCATCGGAACCCCACGTACCCCGAAGGGACCCGCCGCCGAACCGCCGTCCCCGAAACCAATGGCTCGCTCGGTCTTGAGCAAACCACGCATACCATCTGCTTTGTAACCCGAAGACGCCCTCTCTGCCAAATTGCACTCGTGCCCCCGAAAGACCCTCTCACAGGAGATCTCAGTTCTGACCTGGAACGCCACTTCCCCCAAAAATCCTTAGCACAACCCTTTTCTTACTTCCAGGCCCACATCCCACTCCGATCAGGAAGTCGCACTGGGCGTGAGGTTGGACCGTCACACCGCGACGTCGATCGCGGCGAGTTGCGCTTGAAAATGCGATCAAAAGTCATACCATCAGAAGGCTGAGTGATCCACATCGTATGGAGAAGGCTCATTCATCCCGTACACAAAAGCAACGGACGTGCATACATCGACCTCTATGTTTCACCAATCCTACCAACACCACAGGACCATGGCCCGAAGATTAGGCCACAAGACCACAAAAGAAAAGCAAAAGACAATCACAACTAGAAAAAGAACGACTTAAGACAATCTACAAGGCACAGAACAACGTGCAACAACGAAAGGTTGGAGGGCAAGGGGGAGGCGGGTTGGCAGGCAGACAACACAAAACAACAAAGCAAACAGGGTGAAAGGCATGGGGTAAACAGATGGGCAAGCATACATCATAAGGCAACAAGGGAAACAACAGCAAGACAAACGTCAACCATGCAAAAACAACACCTGCAAAAGTACAAGTTTACACAGAGCAAAGACAGAAAAAAATACAAGTATAAACAAAGCAACGACTGAAAGAAAAAAAAAATGATGATAGATTGTTTTGTCGGAATTGCAATGCCGCCTGGCCGCCGCTCCAATCAACAGGGAAAGTCAACACTCCCCACAGCTACCTCTCCGGCGACTTTCCTCGTCGCAACAATGATCCCCCAGTCAACGATCTCAATCCCTCCGCAAGCTCGGGCAACGTACCAGCGAGTAGGTAGGCCTCCAGCCAGCCTTGCTGCTCATCCTCTCTCCTTCCCCTGCCCGGCGGAACAGCAGCTCACATTGCACTCCAAACTGCACTTATTGCAGCAGAGGACCCCAGTTCCGTCAAAGCCACAGGCCGCATCCTCTTCCACCTGAGCGGTAACAGCGCAGCCTAGAAGAGTCGCGCTCGGGTACCACCTACTTTCTATGCCCCATCCGAAGTGCCACAAGGTTCGGACAGCTCACCACTCACACCACACAACAAAATAAAATCAACTTTTTAAAATTTATAATAGTTATTTTTTTTCAATTTATAATCGGTTTTTCATATGGAGCATGCACCATATTCTAACTTTCTTTGTATTAAGAAACATTGACCGATAAACACGCATTCGTTTAACGTTGCTTCAATACAACAAACGTCAACTATATTAGAGAAACATTCTCCGAACATCTCGGCCAACATTCCTGTAATGTTGGAAATGTCGTTTATCAACTGTGGATTCCACTTTGGTTTTAATGTTTCGAGGTTATACTAGAACGTTGGGACGATTGTTACCAAACGTGAAGTAACGTTCGAGCAACATTTCGTTAACGTTCTAAAAAAAAAAAACATATTCATATCGTTCAACTTTTGATATGTAAAAAAATAGTACTCAGTAGGTTCCATAATATAAATAAAACACCTACTTTCTTTAATGCTGCATATGAGGGTCGTAGGTGACAATAGTACATACAAGTTCATACAACCGTGACGCTCAACTCTATCACAATAAGTCGAAGTCTAAGTGCACTTCGGAGGTATGTCAAGCATAAGAAGCACTACAAACATTACTCATAAGCGCACATTTATAAATGAGTTCATAAATATTCTTCTTCTAAAAGATTAGTGCCTACAATACCGAACCGAATTGCAAGACGAAGAATAAGACTTGTGCACGTACTATCTTAGCATACACACTACCGAAGTACAAAAAATAATTAAAAACAACCATGATATTGTTTCATGTTCAATTATTTGAGAGAGAATGCGTTTATAACAAAGTTACGTATGTTGTGGTAATATCAAACAACATGAACCAACAATCATCGATTTGACGTGAGTGTCCAGTACCATCATTAAGTGTCAATATTAAACATCATGATATACATCCTAAGCACGAATTGCATAAATTGTACATTTTTTATCCTTCGTCATGAACGATATAACAAGTATTTTTTTAAAACGATAAACTTGAACACACGCATGTCCTCATAATAAGTATGAACATCTGACGGCCTACTCATTCCATCAATTTTTTTTTCAAATTCAATTACGATCGAGAAAGTTTGACATTTAACATCTTACTGTTCAACATTATCATCATTTTCAAACTCGAATTATGCCCATATGCTGGGCTACTAGCCGTGCCGTTCGGGTCCCCAAACGTTGCACCGAAGCTGGTCGGGGTAACAGGCGAGGTCTCAATCCATATTAAAAACAACGGAAAAAAAAACATATTATACACAATAGCAAACCAAACAACTTTTGGTTTACGTTCACTAACTTCACTTTCAAATTTTTCACACAATTGGAAATGAAAAAAAAAAAACAAAGAAAGAAAAATGATCTCGCATCCTTCGAATGCCCTTCAACCTTTTTTTTTAATCCCTTTAAAGCCCCCAACACCTCATCCCCTCCAAAAATGATATTAATAAAAAAAAAAAAAACGGATTTCGATACCTGATGAAGATCGCAAAAATGGTTCATCATCAGGGGAAAAAACAAACAAACAAAGGTTTTAATGTTTTTTTTACTCGCCCGGGTGACCCTTCGAAGAGAATCTCAATCGCACTGGCCTGGCTTTAGTGCCCAGCCGGGCGGGCCTGTGCGGATCTAGCAGCCCAACCCATATGCCAAAATATGGTTATCCATCATTTTTTAATCATACTCATTCATTTGTGCATCGTTATTATCCTCTACAAAACAAAGAAGTTGTTGAAAATGCAGTTAAACTTTTCATTACTTCTATGATCCAGTAAAATAGAGTACACAACCTGCCTTTTCACTACGTACATTTTTTTGCTTCTCTCTTTTACCCTCTCTCCTTGTTTCTCTCTACATTTATTGCGACATGTTTCCTTATTGTACTTTTATTTTTCTCATATCAACTCTCTCTCTCTCTCTCTCTCTCTGTCTCGCGCGCGCGCGCGCGCGCGATTTCGGTTATGTTTTTAAACTTTCATCATGTTTTTGTCTCGCATTTCCTCTTGACTACTATTGCAAGCCTAAAGAGGAGTATTGTCCAATGACATACTTTGCAGCCTCTACTCCACGACGACGTCCTCTCTCTCCAAAAATATCAACAAATTGATGATCATTTTTCATGCGAATCACTTCCTCTTTCTTCTTCCTCCTTACACAGTATAGATGTTCTCATATATTTATGGAACTCAGCACAACAGTTTTATCTCTGTCCAGAAAGACCACATCGATCGTCCTCTTTTCAATATCAGTCCTGCACGTTATTATAATGACTTCTTCAATCGTTTTCATTTCCTTGCTTGTTGGAGCTGTACGTGCAGCTCGACTTCTTTTGTTGATGTGACAATCCAACACCATATGATCAAATGCGAGTTGTTGAAGGGTGCAACCACTCCGGCCTACGTCGTTGTAATCTTTGTATAACACATCTTGCACGGCGGTCTTGAACTTCATCGCGCCTTATGGTTCATTGTCTTTAATCCTCCACAGCGAATCTTCAGTCATTCTCTTCCGCATCTCCTCTTGCTTCACATCCAAACGATCTCTTACACTTCCGCCAGGATATAGCAACCCTGCTGCGATCCAAAACACTCTAAAGACGTCGTGAGCAATCTCCCCTCTAATGTTCGTCAATTTCCTCGAGCCAAGCGTGCGAATCACCGAAGGCCCTTTCCATTCTGTCATGCAATGAATAATATCTTGTGTCTTCATGTCAAGAGAAGTGACGAGTTTCCTGAAAGTTTCCACATACACCTCAATTAAGGGGTATATTTCTACATCGCTTTCTCGAGAAAAACAGAAAGTTTTTGCCTCGCAACGCAACAATCGCTTCATCATTTTCGAGTGTGTCTGCAATGTCTGAATGTCTCCACATACGAGCTCCTTAGGAGTTTTATTCACCTTCACATTTCCTTGGACACGCTCCTGCATCAGTGTGCACACACACACATTTCAAGTGTCATACAAGAGTAGGTAAAACCACTGATGTTTAGTTTATTAAGCACGTACTTAACTGCAACGACAAAAAAAGAATTGTAAACGAATAACATTTGTGACACTCTCTTACCGTATTTTTCCCTTATACTTAGATTAATGAAAACAAGGTGATTTTGTTGTTTCCTTTACCTCTTGTTCGCTTAGTTGCAAAGTCCTGAGTCTCTTCTTTGTCATCTTTTGGAGTCTCTTCATCGTCATCATTTGCCTCTCCATCAAACTCATTTGCGTGAACGTCATCACTATTTTCATCATACTCGTCCTCAGACTCTTCATATTCTATGTTTTCCTCATCTCCCCAACTTCTTTTGAGCTCCCAGCTGTGAGGATAACGCTTGTCGATTTTTCATGTGAAACCTCTCTGAGTAATTTTGACTTTTCGATTTCGATTTAATTATAAAGTCACTCTGCTAGGTTTTCAAACTTGTGACTTCGAATGTTGTGCCCCATACCCCTTTCCAAACCCCTTTCCACTATCTCGGTAGGTGGATTAACCTATCTCACTTTTAGCAAGAAGTCTAGCGCATGATGCATCCTATCTTCATTCGTGTCATTGTTCTATAAGTGCCAATGCACACATCAAAATATGTAGGTATGCTATCTTGCAGGATTTCCAACTCGGTTATGGTTTCGTAGTCAACGCATTCCTTCGCATACTTTAGCACCATCTTCTATGCACGTGTGCGTTGTTCAAGAGTCATGTCCATCTGCTATGCATGCATGTGACGACAACCAATGTTGTCATTAACCACAATAAAAAATTCGCCTCTCCCTCTCTCTCTCTCATTTGTCGGACGAAGGTTACAAATATTGCCCATGGGACATTCCCATACCAGTGAGGATCATTCGATCCTATAAAAGTGTACATTTACATGTGTAAGTGATCACACTTGGATTATTACCATTCAATCATTGTTGAAGTGATTTCAATAGCAACACCAACCCTAGACACAAAGAAATCGAGTCATGCTTTTGTTTTACAAATAGCAATAAAAATATACACAAGCAAGAAATATACTCTCTCTCTCTCTCTCTCTCTCTCTCTCTCTCTCTCTCTCTCTCTCTCTCTCTCTCTCTCTCTCTCTCTCTCTCTCTCTCTC